GTGGTGTTAGAGAAAATTAAAAAAGGGTGGTCACCCAACTGAAGGTGGGCCCATCCGAGGAGGGCCCCTAGTGCCCAGCAGGTACAAACGGTGCTTAGTATAGCTCAGGAAGCCTTAAGAGAGGAAGTCTATGGGGAAAGAAGCTGATTAGGAAGCTGATAACATGATTCCTGAGCTGATAAACTGGGGGTGTGGGAAGATGGTATCAGCTAACGGTCCCAGGTCCCAACGGAGGTCTCATCACCTCATCAGAAGCAAGACTGAGGGAGGTTCCATGGTGAGGAGTCAGCAGACACAAGTCCTGGCTTTTTCCTGCTTGCGGCCAGCTGTGTGACCCTGGGCAGGCCTCCACCACTTTGCAGGTCAGTGGGGAATTATGAGATCAGGGAGGGTGCGCCCTCTGTAGCCTGCCAAGTACCTTCCCCAAGATGAGCTGATTCTTATCATCAAACCCTAGGTCCAAGCATGTTAGAACAAGACACACATCAGAGATGACTCAGACTACCTGTTAATTGGACAGGCAGGGAAACCAAGGCCCAGAATGGAGTAGTGGCTCTGCCAAGAGCATTCAGCAGATGAAAGGTATAGAATGAACTAGGACCCAGAGCCACTGGGCTGTTAGGCCTGGGTTTGCCCAGCACCATGACAGGAAGAAGGAGAAAGCGGCTGGCAGGAGTGAGGTGGGGGGGGAGCCTAGGACCCTGTTCTCGAGGGTAAATTGAGATGGGGATAGAAGGATCAGAGTACTAGGCGATTTGGGTTAGTCCCTACCCCTCTCGGTGCCACAGCCTCTGTATTTGAAGTGATCAGAGGGAAAGTCTATCCCTAAGGGTCATCCTAAGTCTATGGTTTTTTATGTGAGGGCCCACGATCCATAGGCCAGCCCACCCTGACATGGAGTCAACTAGGAACAGGGAGTTAGCTCTCCTTCACCTTTACAGAATAGAGAGGGAGGTCCCCTGCCCCCATCCACCCCATGGTTCAGTCTGGCCTGCTGCTGGACTTGCATGTTGCTGGGGTGCTAGGGTGACAGCTTAAAGACCAGGATCATCTCTGCAGGATCAAAAGGCCAGATGAGTAGGTTCTGGGGGCAGGACTGGCTCCACTCGTGCCAGGGGAAAACAAGGCTGGGTCAGGCTATGGGAGAAAGCGGGAATAGGCCTGGCCCAGATGCCTTGTCCGTGGAAAATACCTGCTAACACCCTTCATGGCCCAGTTTCCCAAAATACTCATCCTTGTCTTTCTACCACCACTCTCCAGGCTCTGCACCTTCTTCCTTCCCTCAGCCCCGGAGCAATCTAATGAGTCCTGCAAGAACTATTGGGGAAAGATCCAGATTCTGGAATTCAGGTGGCCTGAGTTAAAATAACATACAAATAGTATTGAACTGTCATTAAGTACCAGGCACTGTGCTTAGGGCTTTTATGTGCATCATCTACTATCCTATGAAGTAAGTGCCACTACTATGGCCATTTTATGGATGAGAAAACAGGATCAGAGATGTTAAGACACCTGCCCAGAGTCCCACAACAAGTAAGTGACAGGATTTGAACTTTGGCAGTCTGGCTCTAGAGTCCAAATTTATACAAACCTAGAACAGGATCATCAACTCAAATGTTTGCAAAGGCCAGGCAGGTAATATGGCAGCCAAGTTGGTTTTGTGGGGACTGTAGTTATAGAGACCCCATAACCTGTTCAAAGACAGCAGCTATATGACAACTATAGCTGATAGTTGTCATGCAAGAATGTGGGCGTGGTGTGTAACCAGATCCTCCAAATTTTCAAGAGGATCTGGAAACTAGGATATTTATATGAAATCTCTTGAGTTTCAAAAGTTGGCAACTTAATTCTTTAAGAAACACACTGTTTGAGCCAAGCAAAACATGTCTGCAAGCTGGCTTGGGTTCATGGTGTGCCAGTTTGCAAACTCTGGCCTTGGACTCTAGTGTTAACTCTAATAATAAAAGCAAACACTTAGTGCTTACTATGTGCCTTGCACTATTCTTATCACTTGATATATATTATCTCATTCAATTATTACAACTTTATAAAGCAGGTAGGTGCTATTATCAATCCCCATTTTCCAGATGAGGAAATTGAGGCACAGAGAAACTAAAGCACTTGCTCAAGACTACACAGCTTTATAGACCTGAGAATGAACCCAGGCAGCCCAGCTCCAGAATCTTTTTAACCCCTATGTTATAACAAGGTAAGATTGTCAGAAACATGTCACCCAGCCATTTCGATAGCTAGATGGGGAAACTAAGGCCTAGAAGAGGACAGAGCCTTCCCAAGGCTGCCCATTCATGCACTCGAGAAAGACTTTTTTAATCTTCACCCGAGGATTTTTCTTTATCCTCACCTGAGGATATTTTTTCCATTGCTTTTCAGAGAGTGGAAGTGAGAGAGAGAGAAAGAAACATCAATTGGTTGCCCCTCGCATGTACCCCGACCGAGACCAGGGATCGAACCTGCAACCGAGGCACGTGCCCTTGACTGGAATCGAACCTGAGGCCCTTCAGTCCGCGGGCCGACGCTCTAACCACTGAGCCAAACCACCTAGGGCCCAAGGATATGTTTTCACTGACTTTTAGAGAAAGAGGAAGATGAGGGAGAAAAACATAGGTGTGCGAGAGAAACAGCTGCCTGTATGCACCCCAACTGGAGATTGAACCCTCAACCTAGGTGTGCCCTGATGGGGAATCGAACCCACAACCTTATGGTGTATGGGATGACACTCAAACCAATTGAGCCCCCGGCCAGGGCAAGACTGAGAGTCTTTCTTTCTGCCAGGCACTGTTCTAGGTCCTAAGGACACATCAGTGATGTATGCCAACAGACAAAAACCCTGCTACTGTTCAGGAGGTTATGGGCACTCAATTCATTCCCTCTTGTCCCCGCAGGTGGCCATGGTGGAAGTACAACTGGAGAACAACCACGAATATCCACCAGGCCTGCTGGTGGCCTTTAGTGCCTGCACCACCGTACTAGTGGCTGTGCACCTATTTGCACTCATGGTCTCCACGTGTCTGCTGCCCCACATTGAAGCTGTTAGCAACATCCACAACCTCAACTCTGTCCACCAATCTCCACACCAGCGACTCCACCGCTACGTGGAGCTGGCCTGGGGCTTCTCCACTGCCTTAGGCACCTTCCTCTTCCTTGCTGAAGTTGTCCTTGTTGGCTGGGTCAAGTTTGTGCCCATTGGGGCCCCCTTGGGCACATCAGCCCCCATGGTACCTGCCTCCCAGGTGCCTGGGACTGTACCACCAGTGGCCACCTCCCTGAGTCCAGCTTCTAAGCCACCCTCTGCTTCTACAGCCCCTCCTCAGACTCAGCCATCTGAGGCCTGCCCACCCCAGCAAGCATGTGGTGGTAGTGGGGTCCGTGGACCAGGATGGCAAGCGGCCATGGCCTCCACAGCAATCATGGTACCTGTGGGCCTTGTGTTTGTGGCCTTTGCCCTGCATTTCTACCGCTCCTTGGTGGCACACAAAACAGACCGCCACAAGCAGGAGTTAGAGGAGCTTAGTCGCCTGCAGGGGGAGCTGCAGGCTGTGTGATGCTGGTGTTAGCCACCAGTTAGGAGCACTGCCTTCTTCAGGGGTCAGCCAGAGGCCCCTGCTCTATAGACCACTGTTCCCTGACCCTGCCTGGAGGCCTCAATTCCTGTGTCCACTCTTAGGTAGAGACCAGATTCCTGGCCTCAGGGTCCTTTGGGCTGGGCCTTGGGGCAGCTCCCATATTCCCAGGGATTCTCCCTGTCAGCCTGTCCTATGGGTTTTGTAAGTTCTGATCTACACCTGGGCTGGGAGGAGCAGGGGAGGAAGTGGAAGGTCCTCAGTCCAAGGTTCATACAGTAGGTGGAAGAGAGGCAGGGAGACCCTGGTCAGACCTTTGGTGCTGACCCTTAGCCACTTGCCCCTATACAGGATGTGGAGGTCAGGTTACACGCCCACCCAACTGCCCCAGAAGGCAGCCAGCCCTTGCTTTTTTGTTTGTTTGTTTTTTTGTTAATCCTCATGAGAGGATATTTTTTCCATTGCTTTTTAGAGAGAGTGAAAGTGAGGAAGGGAGGGACAGAGAGAGAAAGAAACATCAATGTGAGAGAGACACATTAATTGGTTGCCTCTAGCATGGGCCCCAGCCAGGCCAGGGATGAACCTGCAACCCAGGTATGTGCTCTTGACGGGGAATCAAACCCTCGACCCTATGGAGTGAAGGCTGATACTCTAACCACTGAGAAGCACCGGGGTCCTTGCTTTATTTTTGTAGAATCTATTTTATGGTTGGCATTTATTGGGAAGCTTTTCCCCATCCCCAGGTTTTGATGGATTTCACACTCTTGTTTTAGTTGCTATAGGGAGGGATTTGGGTGTTTCTGCCCCAGGCATAGGTCCAGCCTTTCCTAGAAGGACCCTTCCTATTTTTGGAGGTTCAAGTGCCTGTCCAACTTCCCCAGACCTACACTTAATGCTTCTATATCTGGTTTTCACTTTTCTGTGCCAGTCTTGGGGGTCTTTGGAGACTGAGGGCCTGTGCACCCAGCTTGACTCCCTAGCAAGGAGTAGGTTTCAAGGGAAAAGGTCCAGTCCTAACCCTTGGAATACAGAGCTATTCTGACACTGAATTTTTGAAGCACCTTGTTTGTATAATAAATTGTGTTTCACAGATGTGCCTGTGGCTGTGAATGGGGTGGAGGGGAGGCTTCCTTGGGATGAGGTGACTTGTTCCTAAGAAACCAGTAGAGGCAAGTGTACCTGGGGGCTGGGCAAGGTTATGGGTGAGTAGGTTCCAAGTGTGACCTTCTGACACTGATGGAGGCCAGTAGCTTCTGAATGTAGATACTGAGTTACTACAAGGTAAAAGGCTTTTGCACTCTTGTTCCTGAGCTTAGGGTCTCTCTCTCTTCCATTGAGGGTTTAGTAGGGGCTTTTTGTAGGTTATTTCATTTAACACACACAACCACCTAAAGAGACAAGTCTTTCTCATTTCCATTTTCAAGGTAAGGGATCTGAAGCCAAGAAGGCTGAGGAGCTTGCCTAGAACCACACAGCTAGTCATTGAAAACCTGGATTACCTTTACCATCACATGAGGAATCTCTGTTTGACTTGAGAAAAGGAGCCAATACCTTTCAACTGGGACAAGAGAAAGGAATATGATTTCATCACCCATGCTTCCAAGTAAATTCATTTTTTCAACTTCATTTTCCTCAAAAATTTAAAGGGTCCCAATCCTCTCTCTTCTATTATAGTGTGAGATCTTGAACAAGTATCCCTTTTCTCTTTTCCTATTACTTAAAATGGTAAATTTGCAAAAACCAGGCTTCAAGGGCCTTTCCTGTGCTTTTCTGATGCCTACACTAATCCTGTGTGACAGGAATTAATAGGTATTTCAGAGTAAGAATCTGAAGCTTTGAGAGGTCAATGACTTGCCCAAAGTCATACAGGGAGAGCTGTAGATAGAGAAGTCTGGAACCTAGGGCATCCTCAGCTCAGGCGGAGGGGCCTCCTGGGGATGCCATTACCTAGAGACCAGAATACTCTGCGTCCAGGACAGAGAGAAAGGGTGCCCAGCCTCTGGCGACCGTAGTCCCAGGATCCCAGGTGTAAGCCTGGGCTGGTGCTGCCCTCGAGCGGCGGGACCGCGTAAGTATAGCCTACCCCTCCCATTCCCGCAGAAAACGGCGGGCACTGGGACCATGATGCCTGGATAATCGACCAGCAACCAGTCCACCTAGTTCCTATAAAGCCTCGTTTATTTTTTACAGCACCCACTCAAGGGTCTTTAAGCCCCACCAGGTTTATCACAAAACTTTAAGACAGCCTTCAGATTTAATCACTAATGGTGGCGGAGTACCAGCAAATGCAGAACCCTCTGGGGGTCTCAGTCTGCCCATCTGTCAAGTGGACATCTTAAGCAGTCAGTGGCCCAAAAGGGATAACGGGAGAAAAACGCTCCCTGCATTATGTGCGGCGCCAGGCAAACGGCCTGAGTCACCATTGTTGTTTGTATTTTTCCATCTCACGGGCGCCCCTCCCAGCCCGCCCGGGTTTCGGTGGGTCCTACAGGAAGCGGCCCCGCGACGCCAGGCTCCGCACGCTCTGGCCACGCCCTCTGCGCACGGCGCCTTGGCTCCGCCCACAGGAGGATTCGCAGATTCGCTAGGCCGGCTCCTCGGAATTACTCAGGCCTCCATGCTCAGCTGAAAATTGTCATCGGACTCCGAGGAGCTTTGGGCCATAGCCATTTTCCTCGGGTCGGAACTGGGCAATGCCCTAAATTGTACTAGTAAGAAAATCCAGAAAAGTGGCTGACTTTGCCAACAGGGCTTGGCTAACCAGGCATTCTTTTCTTGACTCCACCAAGGCGGGTAAAGGGAGGCAACAGCTGGGGCCTGGAATTATTGCGAATCTGCAGCCTCTTAGACGTTTGGCCGCGCAAGAAAGGGGCAGGCAAGAGGAGCAAAGGAGCCCGCGTCTCGTCACCCATGCGCCCCGCCCGCCTGACGAATCTGCGCCCGTTCAACGCGCCACTCAAATCTCCCCAGCTCTGGCTGGCCTCCTCCCCTGCGCCCCGCCCCCTTTTCCTCCGGGATTAGTCGCTGCTTTCGTCGCCGCCGATTCGTCAACGGCCCCAGGCCAGAGCAGCTGGATAGTCGTGAAGCCCACTCTCCGGGGGATGCGGCCAATCTCCAGGCTCCCTAGGCCGCAGCTCTCGAGCCTCATAGGGCGCCGGCCGAGGCGAAACCGCTATCCTCGGCCCCGTTGGTTTCCCGGTGGCTCCCGTGGCGAAAGTGCGAATGCCGACGCTGTGCCTGCTGGGCCTCACGCAGGTGGCGGTGGTGTTTGGTGCGCGCGCCGGGGAGGTGGTGGTGGGGGGGCGCCGCCGCCGCC